AGGAGAGTTGTTGACAGTGGGTCTGGGGATGTGGAGATTTGTGAACGGCAGGTGTTCCAGTTCTGAGGAGATCTGCAGAGTTTTCTGTGGAGTTTTGAGGGCACTGCTTCTGCATGAAGCTACTTATCAGTGCAGTGAACAAACACAGATGAACATGAAAGTATTGTGAGAGAATCAACTGAGGGTCTGACTATTTCATGTTCTACAGGCCTGGTTTTAATGGAGCCATCATTGTGTCCTTGTGTGAAGCTCCAAATTATAGGGATAGTTCAAAAATAATCCAATCCAAATGATCCAAAAATAAAAACTTATGCCATTCCAAACCTGCTTGACTTTCTTTCTTCTGAGAACACAATAAACACATTTTGAAACATGTCTCTTTGTTCTTTTTCTTTCTTTCTTTCTGTCCATGCAATGAAAGCCAGTGTTCTTCAAAATATTTTGGATCACAATGTAGTGAACAATTATTTTATTTTAAAGACATTTAGTTCCCACTTTAAGTGAACCTTAGTTCCCAGGTCATCTACAAGATGGATTAAAATGCTGATAAAGTAGGGACTTCCGGCTGAGCATGTGAGTGAGAAGTTAGCTCGCGAGCACTTTGTCGTTCTATTATACCTTTCAGGCTGCCTGAAACGTTAAGCACACTTGGTGGTTTATTTTTCAAACTACTTATTCGACGATTGTAGCTTGGAAGGATTTATGGCTTCGGAAAGGCAACGTAAACTTAAATCGTCAGCAACCGTGACAGAGAGTCATGGTGACAAGCTGCCGTTGGATCTGGAAAATCTCTGTGTCACTCTGATCTCCGAGCTATCATCTACCATTGCAGAAGAGGTGAAAGCAGCCATCGACGTCCCCCGGTTGTTGCGTCCTTTGAGAGTTTTAAATCGAGCATTGAATCACAAGGACGGCACATTGACGAGCTTGATCAGCACTTGAACGATTACAGCGACCGCATTGTAGCACTGGAACAGACGGTGCTAAAGTTGACTTCGGCTAACAAGCAACTCACCGATAAAGTGGAGGACTTGGAGTCGCGCTCTCGGCATTGCAATCTCCGGGTCATCGGCATCCCCGAGCGAGCAGAAGGGAGCGATCCGGTTACGTTCATGTCACAATTTTTCCAGGACGTGCTCGGGTCAGAAATCTTTCCCACTCCCCCGCTGCTGGATAGAGCGCACCGTATTGGCCCCACGTCTTCGGCTGACCGGGAGAATCAAAGGCCTAGAGTGATGATCGTGCGGTTTCACTACTTCAGCGATAAAGAAAAGGCTGTCCAGCGTTGGAATTGGAACCAGCTCTTCTATCAGAGTCGTAAGGTCTTCATTTTTCCTGATTTCAACTCCAGCGTTGCTAAGAGGAGGGCGGCATTTTCAGCTGTGAGAAACAGCCTACGTGAGAAGAACGTGAGATTCTCTCTTAAATTCTCTGCTCGCCTGCTGATAGACCTTGGAGAAGAGAAGTTTCAATTCGACTGTCCCAAAGAAGCACAGCGATGGTTTAACGAACAGTATTCAACTTCCTAGGTATTATGTAGAGATAAGTATGCAAAGGACACTATTTTATAAACACTTGTACTCTGATAATTGATAACTGTTAACCAAGTGAGTTTAGATAAATGATTTCATGTTGCCTGAAATGACTGTTCATGTTACTCCATATGTTCGGGAGTGACTTCATACGACATAGACGGGAATAGATACGTCTTTTGAGCATCGGAGGTTCCAGAGTTTTGGTGTTCTGCCTTCATTGTTTGGGAATGGAGAGAAGAAATTGAGTGATGTTTCCCTCAAGTGAATTTACAGCTCAATTAGTATTCATTTACCTATTCATTTAGGCTACAGGTGTGAGTCTCGAATTTCTTCAGCAAAGTTCATACAGCATGGCTTTAATAGGCAGAATAGGACACCAACATTAATACTTGACATTGTTATTCTATTTGTAGGCCCATGCAAGTCTATTCAATTCTATTTGTATAACATGAGGGATAATCCATAGGTGTGCATTACACAATTTTAATGCATGACAATTTTAATGCACATTAAAATCGTGTAACCTAAGTTATACCTAACTGTGGATTATCCCGCCTTATACAGTCTTGGACATGAATATTGGCACCCTTGGTATTTATGCAAATAAATATGCATTGTCTTTTTTTTTTTTTTTTTTTTTTTTCTTTCTTCCCCCTCTGCTTGTGGCCTCCTCTCTTAAATATTAACCTAACATTATGGACAAAACCAGAAGCTCAGTTAGATTCTTGAGTTGGAATGTGAAAGGACTGAATGGTCCCATTAAAAGATCCAAAGTTTTGGCACATTTGAAACTACAAAAACCTGACGTTGTATTCCTCCAGGAAACTCATCTGCGCCTTAAGGATAAATGCAGACTCCAAACTCGCTGGACATCACACATTTTTAATTCGAACTTTGATTCCAGGTCTAGAGGAGTTGCCATTTTGATTAATAAGACTGTGCACTTTTCTATTGACAATGTTATTTCTGATGTGAATGGACGATATGTAATTGTGAAAGGGAAAATTTCACAAACACCAATAGTTTTGGTAAATGTACAATATATGCCCAAACTTTGATAATGCTCTCTTTGCTCAGGATCTGTTGTAAAAGATCCCAGCTCTGAACACACATCTTTTGATATTTGGAGGAGTTCTAAACTGTGTTATTGATCCTGATTTGGATAAATCAAGCACTGTTATGAAAGCTCCCTCTGCCATGTCTAAGATTGTTTCTGAGTTTATGGTTCAAAATGGTTATATTGCCCCATGGAGACACTTTAATCCCACTGAGAGGAAATACTCATTCTACTCGTATGTCCATCAGTCTTTCTGTCGTATATATGATTTTTTTATCAATAATTCTCTAATTCCTCAGGTTGTAAACTCTGAATATCTGCACATCGTCATTTCAGATCATGCCCCTCTAAGTCTTGACATTTTTTTATTTTCATTTCACACTTCTCGACCACCCTGGCGGTTCAATTCTTTACTTCTACCTGATTTAGCATTCTGTGAATATATTTCTAATTCAATAGATGACTTTCTCCTTACTAATCAGACAGATTCAATCTCTTACTCCTTACTTTGGGAAACTTTGAAAGCCTTTTTAAGAGGACAGATAATTTCTTACTACGCTTATGTTAATAAAGAAGGGAGGAATAGGATAAAAAAAGTTATCTAACAGTATTCAAGCTTTAGATGACCAATATGCTCATAGCCCGACTCCTGAGCTACATAAACAAAGGCTTAATCTGCAGGCAGAATTCAATCTGTTATCCACAGGTGAGGCGGAGAGACTTTTGTTACATGCGCGTGGTAATTACTACGAGCATGGGGATAAGGTCCGGTCGCCTCCTGGCCCATCAGTTTCGCAACCGAGCAGCTTCGCGATTTATTGCTCAAATTGCACAGCCCGATGGAGCATTAACTTCAGATCCTGTGGAGATTAATTCAACTTTTAAAAACTTTTTCTCTTTTCTGTATAAAACTGAAGCTTCTGGCCATTCAGAAGTAATGAACCAATTTCTTGGGCGTATTAACTTCCCTAGGGTTGATCCTCTTTTAGTGCCTGAACTTGATGGACCCATCACCTTAGAGGATATCACTAAGTCAATTAATTTGCTGCAATCTAAGAAATCCCCTGGCCCAGACGGGTTGCCTTCCGAATTTTATTAAAAATTTCATGTCAAACTGGCCCCGCTTCTTTTGTCTGTATTTGAGGAAGCTTTAGATCTAGGTATGTTGCCCCCAACACTGAGACAAGCATCTATAACTCTATTTCCTAAAGCTGGGAAGGACCCAACATTACGTAACTCATACAGACCTATTAGCCTCCTCAATGTTGATGTTAAGATTTTAGCTAAGATTTTGGTCTCTTGTTTAGAGGCAGTACTTCCTAGTATTATCTCAGAGGAACAAACTGGATTCATTAAAGGACGGTATTCATTCTCTAACATTCGTACTCTTTTTAATATGTTATACTCAAGACAAAATAGTGTTTCCCCTGAGGTGATCATTTCGTTAGATGTCGAAAAGGCATTTGATAGGATAGAGTGGGATTATCTGTTTAGAGGTCTGGAGGAGTTCGGTTTTGGGGAGGGATTGATATCATGGATACGTCTACTATATGCTGACCCACAAGCTTCAGTTTCTACTTGAGTATTTTACCTTATCACGGGGTACACGCCAGGGATGCCCCTATCCCCATTACTTTTTACCGTAGCTATTGAGCCCCTTTCAATAATTCTTAGAACACTTCCTGTATTTCAAGGAAGGGAATCGAACTTAAATTAGCCCTATATGCTGACGATTTATTACTCTACGTTACCGATCGATTCGAAATCCTTCGAATATTCTGTTTTGCTGCTCAGAAAGCATTTCTTCTTATTATCAACGTTGAAAATATTTGTGCTGCTTAATATTAACTCGTTTTTTTTTTCAGGATGCATTGAATTTTGAATAGAAAGTTAAATTATTAATAGAATAACAAATATTTGAAGATAAAAACATATTTGGTAATATTATGAATGTCTTTACTGTCATTTTTGATTAATTTAATGCATCCTTTCTGAATAAAAATTGTATTTCTGTTCATTAAAAATAAATAAATAAAACTTTCAGTCCCCAAACTTTTGAAATTGAAATCATTTAAAGCATCTGTAGCTTTAATTCCTGATTTTATTATTATTATTAGTAGTAGTAGTAGTAGCAGCATCAATATTATTTTTAATCACTCGGGCCTGTGTACTAAAATAAGCTTTGATGTCTTTATGTCAAATATATATATATTTAAATATATTTCCTTTTGATTTTGGGGTGAAATACAGTATGACCTGGATATCTAGGTCCTTTTCATGAGACAAGATTCACAATTATTCATCCATCCAGTAGGAGTAAGCAATTAATCAATCACATACTGTATATCACATCACATCCTAACCTCAACACAGCTGTCTTAATCTGTGATCTGTAATCTGTGTCATACCTGTGTGTGTTTGAGAGGGGTGAGGTGGACCATGAGCCATCAGTCTGACCCAACTCCCCGGACACCCAGTCCGGCAGCACTGCAGATCCCTGCTCCTGTGACTTTGCCAGCAACGGCTCATCAAAATAAATGGACTAAAAGCAGAAAAAAATCACAATGCTTAACAATCACCACTGATTCCAGGTCTCAGACCTATACAACGTTTTATGGTGTTATGTTGCCTTATACAGATCAAGGTAAACACATGTATCAGTGCAGTATTTACCATGTACGTAGGTAAAGTCTTGAGGCTGCCTGCTTCAGGTTTGTGGGTAAAGGGACCCTCTAAAACTCCCTTTCTGAGCATGTGCAGAAGGAGTCGGGCGTACATGTTACGATTTTTCCTTCCAGTCAGTCCAGAGCCGCAGGTCTCAGGATCACACAACTTTTTAATCCACAGTGCACACTGCTGCCGCTCTGATGGGCAAATGTGGTTTTGAAAAAGATCATTTTCAAGTCGAATTTTCTTATTTGTAGCCTTACAAATCCTGTGTTGAAATGACAGAGCACTCTCTCGCTCTCTCTCTCTCTCTATATATATATTCTCACCTGTCTTGTCAGTCAGTTTAAGCACATATGGCTTCATGTCCACTAGGTAATGATCAAACTCAGAGTCCAGAATCCCAAAGCAGTCCTGATCACTCATGTTCCTCCTAAATACATGAAAAGACTAATTAAAACCACCTGTAGTTTACTGTATCCATATGTGACTTTAGGTATGCATTTTGGTGCATGTTTTAGCTAATTATCATAGCAGACAGCCATAAATAACAGACATGTCATTATTTGTCAACATACAGCATACAGCCAATGACACGCGTTTAAAATTCTAATGAATACATAATTAGTCATATTTATGTGATGTGGTGCGATAGTTTATATTAAATCATAATTTACAGATACATAATTCTTTTTTTCATCATTTTGTTAGCTCACCAGTTAGCAGAACTCATTCACAAATATTGAGAAGCGCTAACGTTGCTTCTGCGATGGGCTTATATAAAGTGCTAATGTAAACGCAAGTATTAATGTAAACGTAAGTCTACGGTAAATACTTGTTGCGCACTAAATCATTTTGAACGATAATAATGTCTTCGTATAGTGTCTTCTGCAGCTGTGATTGTGCGCCGCTCCTCCACTTGTTGCTACTTTACGCTCACAAACGGTTTCAAACTGACAAACTGTGAAGTCGTAGTTCACGCGCGCCTTTACTGTTTCAAAATAAAAGTCTCACATAACAGAGTCGTTTCTGTCACCGTGATGTACTTTGTACAACTACTTTGTTTTGTACGATTTTTTACTTTCTTAATATTGTACGCTGAGATGCAAATATTCAACTTTATAACATATTCGGATATTTGTTTTACAACATTAGAGGACTAACTGCTGTAGTAGCTACTATTGATATTTTTCTCTATATATTTTCTCCTAACTGCTAAACACAAGCTAGTCACATGCTCCTTGCAACAGTTTGTGCATCACAGCTTTACATTTCAGCAATATCACTCACACCGAGAAAACTTTATTTAGTAGTTGTCTCTATGTTTTCTACGATATGTTTACGTGCGCTTTTTACTTTTACTACTTCCTCATGACACAGGAAAAGAGCTTACTGTTTGTGGCTTCATTCCGTTCGTCGCGAGAAGCGTTTCCGTTTCCTAGCAACAATAAAATCGCAGGCGAAACAAACCCATTTAAAGGGATAGTTCACCCAAAAATGAAAATTGTGTCATCATTTATTCACCCTCATGTCGTTCCAAACCTGTATGAGTTGCTTTCTTATGTTGAACACAAAAGAAGACATCAACAGTTGGTGGTTGCCTTTGACTTCCATGGTAGGAAAAAAAAAATACTATGGAAGTCAATGGCAACCACCAACTGTTTGATTACCAGCAATCTTCAAAATATCTTCTTTTGTGTTCAACATAAGAAAGCAACTCATACAGGTTTGGAACGACATGAGGGTGAGTAAATGATGACACAATTTTCATTTTTGGGTGAACTATCCCTTTAAGTTTGATATTTAGGGTACTCTATTTATTTATTTACAAACTATTTTTTTTTAAAAACAGGTTAAAGCCGTTAGTTTTAGTTATACATGAATTAGCACTAACTTTCTTAACTTAAGGGGTTTTGTGCAACCGGCAGTTTTTGCAAAAACCAATTCTACAAAAAAGTTCACGGTTGCCTTTGACTTCCATGGTAGGAAAAAAAAAATACTATGGAAGTCAATGGCAACCACCAACTGTTTGATTACCAGCAATCTTCAAAATATCTTCTTTTGTGTTCAACATAAGAAAGCAACTCATACAGGTTTGGAACGACATGAGGGTGAGTAAATGATGACACAATTTTCATTTTTGGGTGAACTATCCCTTTAAGTTTGATATTTAGGGTACTCTATTTATTTATTTACAAACTATTTTTTTTTAAAAACAGGTTAAAGCCGTTAGTTTTAGTTATACATGAATTAGCACTAACTTTCTTAACTTAAGGGGTTTTGTGCAACCGGCAGTTTTTGCAAAAACCAATTCTACAAAAAAGTTCACGACCAAACAAATAGGCTATATCTATAAATATCCATTATTTAGCCATTTAAATGTTTGATATATTTATTTGTTTGTTTGTATTGCTTGAAAACACATACATAACAAAGGTGCCAATGGTATACATCGAAAAATATAGAAAATAAATCATGTATATAAAATAATGGAAGGCCTTGCTATTTCACAATATCTTAAATGTACTAAATAAGGGCACAGTTTTAACAGTTTTTTGTTGTTGTTGTTGTTTGTTTGTACTCTCACAAAACCAGTCATAAGTAGTACGGTATATTTGTAGCAATAGCCAACAATAGGCTGCATTGTATGGGTCAAAATGATTGATTTTTCTTTTATGCCAAAAATCATTAGCATGTTAAAGATCATGTTCCATTGAGATATTTTGTAAATTTCGTACTGTAAATATATCAAAACGTAATTTTGATTAGTAATATGCATTGCCAAGAACACTTGGACAACTTTTAAAAGCGATTTCCCCCCAATATATATATATACAGTGGGGCAAAAAAGTATTTAGTCAGCCTCCAATTGTGCAAGTTCTCCCACTTAAAAAGATGAGAGAGGCCTGTAATTTTCATCATAGGTATACCTCAACTATGAGAGACAAAATGAGAAAAGACAATCCAGAAAATCACATTGTAGGATTTTTAAAGAATTCATTGGTAAATTCCTCGGTAAAATAAGTATTTGGTCACCTACAAACAAGCAAGATTTCTGGCTCTCACAGACCTTTCAGCAATAAACAAAGACACACAAATGTTCGTCTAGAGTAATTTGTGCTTATTAGTACGGTTGAACTGGACCATCGAAGGTCAGAAGCAACAGAATGGGATTAAATACATAAAGCATATTTGTGTTGTTTAACATTTAATTATTTCAGGCTTGCGTCATATTCTGAGTTGCATTATTTGTATTCATTTTGAGTGTTTTTGTGAGTGAGATGAATGAATGCATATTCATATTTATTCTAGAACTACAGTAACATCTGATTTCTCTCAACATGGGGACAGGAGAGCTGTCAGTCAATAAAATGGAATAAAAAAAGTAACTTGCGTTACTTATTTGAAAAAGTAACTCAGATAAGTAATGCGTTACTTTACTAGTTACTTGGGAAAAGTAATCTGATTACGTAACGCGCGTTACTTGTCCTCATCTGTAAGTCGCTTTGGATAAAAGCGTCTGCTAAATGACTAAATAAAAATAAATAAATAAATATATATATATTTGTAATGCGTTACCCCCAACACTGCTTATAATAACTGGATTTGTGGTCCACGGTCACATTATAATGATCTAATTCTAATTCTAGTACGACAGACAAAAAGAGGTTTCTGATAGCCGCACACATGGCAGTAGTGGGTCGACAGACTGTTGTTCCGCAGCGTTCGACTCTGTTCATCCCCAATAATCGCGTTTGGAACGCTACAGATGACGTGTTTCTGCTTTTCGTCCACGGGATGGCGTCATGCACCCTCGTATTGAGTGACGAGTGGACAGGCACTGTAGAGAGCGTTGACGTCAGTGTCAGTGAGAGAGGCGCGCGCTGTAACAGGAGAGACGCAGCTGAACGCGTACAGTAGACGCGTCGACTCGCGCAGCGGAGGACACACACACACACACACACACCTGAGGAATAGCGGCGCGATGGCTGATCATCTGATACAGATCAATGACTCGTCCGCCGCGGTCAATCGATTCGCGCGGAAAGGAGCTCAGCGAAAGAAGAACGTGCACGAAGTTAAAAACCACAAATTTATCGCTCGATTCTTCAGGCAGCCCACATTCTGCAGCCACTGCACCGACTTTATCTGGTAACATGCTTTGCATGCAGTACTCATGCATTACATGTGAAACTTTGAGAAATTGCAGTCTTGGATGTTTGGTTTGATAGCTGACAATCATTTCTTACTTTTCTAGTGGCAAGGCAAGCATAACACCAAAAAAAATTATTTTTCATAATTTTCTGCCTTTCATAGGAAATTGAGGTGCATAGGCTACACGAGTAAATTAGGATGGCAATATGTTTGCGTTTTAATTTTGTGCTTGAACTTAGGGGGGGGGGGGGGGGGG